AATTTTGTAAACGCCATTCGTTGAGTGTTTTTGGTTGTTTGATTTGTTGCGTTGCAGAGCACTGTTCATCAACAGCGCTATCGCCATCTTTCGTCAACTTGAGCAGTTCAATTAAACGATTCAATAAACTTGCACTGTACGATGGATGACACCAAATTATCAGTGACCTCCATTCACTTTTACTGCAAACGATTAACGAATTTCTGTTAAGAAGCAATGAAAATCACTTCTCTTTATAAAACATTTATCGGTGCTTCGTCCTTCTGAATTGAGAACATCAAAGATAAAGAATTATCCGACCAGACGATAGAGTAGGAAAGAGCTCTTCGAAAGTTCACATCAATATGACACTTCAATGAATTAATTGAAATCATTGTTTCAGTTATCAATAAATGAAATGAATAATACCGAATCAACAACAAACCTTTCACCTGTCCAACAGAATCGAACAGGACCAATGAAACCGAACGGATACTTGCCGGGTTCGAAGAGTAAAGTTGTTATTTCGAATCGATTCTCTAGTGCCGATTTGAATGCGAACGTAGCACTGGCTGATGGCACGCATAAAGAACGTAATGCACTGATCAAATCATTTTCATTACCGCCACAAAATATCTTAACCATTCAGTGGTAATTTTTTATATTCTGATGTTGCGTTGGGATAACATTTAGTACTGACCGAAATTAAATGAATCGTTATCAATTATCTGCTTACCTATTTCAATGATAGAGATTTGATTCTGGTTCAATAACAATTTTCAAATTTTGATTGATAGAATTGAGAAAATAAGACAAATAAAATCTCCACCTATTATAGAATGATACATTCAATAAATATTATAAATTTGTAAACCGTTTCGTAATGGCCAATATATCAATTACTAATGCAAACAATGATGCCGAATGAAATACGATTAAAATTATCGATGAGTAACAAAACAAAAATCGAAATGAATTCACTTGAAAACATCTGATGAAACTTGTGTCTCTGATAGTGCAATGTCTCATGGCATCACGATAAGTGGCACGATAGGCACGTTGATAGCTGCGTAACGCTAATCTATAGCCCCATTTATCGCACATATAGAATCGTTTCGCATGCCACACGTGTGTCTCCAACCAAATATGCTTTCGTTGTCGTCTTATATAATTCTAAATTTTCAAGCATCAGAAATATAATAATGATTTCAACAAATTTGCAGTATTAATGTCAATAAAAACAACAATAATTGCTGCATTGAACGGAACTGATCCAATGCAATCGAAATGAATCGAACGAACCAACCAATAGCAAGTTTCGAGGTCTTCTTCTCCAAAATCTGCTCGGTGCTTTCTTACGATGTTTCGATGCCTTTACAGCTGATGCAGCGAATCGGCGTTGATTCCGAGGAAATCGTTTAATATTATACGACATCGCACGACGACGCATATGCCTCGGCAGCCGTTGTAGGGCTGTGCGAGGTCCTTTTGTTACTTCACCCGATACCAACGAGCGATTCTCTATTGCCTTCAAATTACTACTTTTGTTGTTATCATTATTATCAGAATTACTGTTATTGTCATCATTATTATTAACGTATATAATTAATCTTGCATTTCCATTATTTCATTACAACTCAAATTGTTTATGCGCTATATTCTCTTCACTGATTCATGTAAAAGAAAAGAATACTCTATCATTAGTTGAAATCGCAATGTGCAGCGGATAAATTTTAAAAAATCAAAAAGTTCAAACAAACGAATCGCACATCGATTAAATCAGCGATTTGTGTGATTCTTTCCTTTGCGAACTGAACAATATTTATATCTCGTGGACGACCCTCTTCTTCCATTTGACCATTACCATTCTCTGCCCGATCCGTTATTTCATTCTCTTCCATTATTATTACTATTATCACTGCAACAATGAATAGATCCAGTCGAAATCGTGGTACCATTGCATTAAGTCATAATCAATGTACGAAATCATAATCATGCTAACAATTCAACTTATCAAACAACCCAAATTTACATATTATCTGTCGCGAATAACAGCTGCTCATAACAAACTGATTAAGAACTACATCGACTCAACTAACATCAAACTCGTTAAAAAATTTAAATAACTTTCAAAATAAAGATCATCTCAAATTCGTTCAGCGTGATTAATTACTTCCAAATCCCCAATAACCACTAACTATTCGCAAACCCATTATTAATACTTCCTTATCTTAATGACCATCAGATATTCACAACTCAATTGATTAATAAAGGACCAAACAGTCACGTCCGCACAATTTATCCAAATCATCAACTACCATGAAGTGAAGCATGTCACGTCCCGAAGATCACCCACGTCAATGATCATCACCTCCGCCTTCAGAACAAAACAAATACCTCCAACCCAAGCTCATGGGCTTCTTTTTTCCTTTCCTTCCTCCCTTGTTGCGGCCTCTACCTTTGCTACCCCAACGGATATCTCTCTTCTCCTTTCTTCTACCTCTTACAATTTCACCATTAACTCCTAACAATAAGCAACTGTTTCTCCCTTTTCATAATCATCACATTGTTAACCCTTCATATATCTTCGGATTGTTAGTCTTCTGTAAATTATCAAAGATCGAGTAATTATCTTCATTCTACTGTTAACGCAACGTCTTTCATCAACAACAAATCAATTCTCATACGCTTCTCACTCTCACATTACATCAACGCAATCCAACTCGCCCAGAATATTCCTTCTCAACATTATCCTCCATTCTCTCATGAAAGCGAATGTTTCATGTGGTACTGACAGCAATAAAATACAAGGTTATATGGCATGAGTATACTATGACATGATGCATGAAGACATCATGAATAAGCACGGAAATAGGCTTAACTCAATGCAAAATGACCATCGATTGGCGAAGATGATAAATGTAAAATCAAATAAATACAAGAATCAAACTCGATACCGCGAAATTCATGAATCCAAAATCAACTCACGTACCGTATCATAACTCTTTATTATCAATCGATATATCTTCTCATAACACATAACATAACAATCGAAAGAGCAAAAAGAAAATCAACGTTTCAATTCATAAAATGGAGCATAACAACAACGATAAAGGCAATTCAATAGGTTATAAAACATCAACGAGCAACCTGTAAAATTTACCGGATGCACTTGAGGCTTACCGTCATCTGCTTCAACCAGTTTTTTGGCTTGATTTTAATGACAGGTTGGGACTAAGGTAAAGGATGTCAAACCTCATTTGCATCGATGAATTGGGTGCCTCAAAAACCTCACAAATAACGGAGAATAATTTCTGC